AGTTCTTTTCTCTGCTTCCTAAGACAGAGCCTGGACTAAGTTCCACACTTGGTCTGCACGGGAGGAAAAGATTCTGGGGTTACAAAGTGCAATGTCACGTCTCTAATGAGAGTGTGTCCACTCTAAAGTGTGCTGAGGCCCCGGATCAGAACGATGCTTGCTGTGTTCACATCTCTTCTTCTGATTTAGCATTTCTAGACAGGCTTCTCTGAACAAGCAGGACTTGGAAGAGGCAACCCACCAGTCGTCTCACTCACTGTCAAGGACATGGGGACTATGATGGATGGCATGTTTACTAGATGGCTTGGCAATTGTCCTTGGCTCACTGATGAACATCTGATGGAGTTTAGGCTAGTGGTTCCCTCCAGGCTACTTGGCTTAACACAGTAATCTCAGATTAAGAACCCTGCCCCATTTCAGGAGCCCTAGCCCTACAACCAATAAGTTATTATATTGCTGTCCAGTAATTAAGAGCTGATAGATGGATAAGGACTATTTTTACCAGGAAATTCCTCATATGAAGCATGATTTATGATGTTGGAAATAGGCAACAGTGCCGTTTAGGAAATCTTATCAGTGCTGCAGCTCATGAATGTCTTTCCTAGGGGGTGACACCAAAGGGCCCAACAAAAATTTTTACTGTTTTTCAGACGGACTTTACAAACCTCAATCAAGAGATCTGAAATTCTGTAAAACACATGCTCTTTCCCTAACTTCAATTTCCTTCAGTAGTTTTATAGGTCCCCAAGGCCAGGGAGAGCAGAAACAGATGGTGCTGGGAGGGGGCACTTTACAGTGTGTGTCTGCAAAGCCATAATAAATTTAAAAAGTTTTTCTTTTTTTCTTTTCTTTCTTGTCCTTTTTCTTTTGCAACCTAGCTTGTGGTATTAATCCCGATGTGAAATGAGCCTTGATAGTGTTTGACATAGCTACTTTTCTATATATTTATATATATTTTTTCAATTAAATCTGGTTTACTAATCTTGTTGACTAAGACATTTTCTACTGGAAATTCCAAAAATTACCCAGTGCCATCATCTAGACAAGTCGGAAAAGCAGGCTGGTCTATGTTTACATGACACAGCGCTTTCCCCCGGGGCCGCCTTACCCCATAAACTGTTGTCCTGGTGTGAAAAAAATACAAGTCAGGTCTGAAGAAAAAAGTTGCCCTCTTAAATCACAACCATATTTGTGAGAGGCCAGGAAAACAGTAATATTTAAAGTTGTAGCCAACCTTGTTGCTCTGTTTTCTCTTTATTTTTAAAAATTTCCCTCCAATGGTCTAACCTCATAGAATCCACTTTCTCCCACCAATGTTGTCATTCCTTTTTAAAAATAGAGTTTTAGTAATTTTAATCATTATCATTTGATCATCATTATGGGCGGGGATGCAGGACTGTGTTGGAGACACTGTGTAAAGCCATGAAAGAATATTTTCATATGGGAACACCCTACCCACCAACAAGAACCACCAATGAGGAGTCAGTGGAGGGTGAGCAATTCTCTGACACGTGCAAATGATCCTTCTGCAAGTGTGCAGGAAAAGAAGCTTTGGTCTGTGTAAAACAACCCTCCAAACAGCAACAAAGGTGGCCAAGGACAGCTGGTGATCGGAACGCTACATGCAGAAACCCGTTGGCCACGTCATGGAACACACACAGAAATAAAGACTAACGGTTTGGTCTATGATACTGGTACTACATGAGGGTTAAGCTTCAATGGTTAATAAGCAGAAAAGCCATCATACAGTGGGGATAAGAGGTCAGTGAAGAAATGTGAATGGAACAGATATTTGAGTGCATGGTAATTATGGGCACAGGAAGAGGCTGGGTTTCAAGGATCACTCGGATGCTCAGAACCTTGGGGAGAGGACTGGACCACTCTGACTGTGAAGTGTATGACAGGCCCCATCTTAAACTGTGGCTGTGTCTCCTCAGTGAGTGAACACCTGGTACTACAGTGTTTCTCAGATCTTGGCTGTCTTTTGGAGTAGCTCCTCTTTTCAGCCAATGTCCCTTTAAGGCCACAGAGTGCCTCAGCTTCCAAAGCCTGCTCATATAATTTTCTGTTCTGTCACCTTGGAGACCACCTATATTAAACTTTTCAGTAGCAGCAGCAACAAAAACAAAACAAACAAAACAAAAAAAACCCCAACCAAACAAAAGAACCACACACTATGGAGGTTTGAAGGAAAATGGCCCCCAGAAGGAAAGGTACTAATGGGAGGTGGTGTTTTTGTTGGAGTAGGGTGGCTTTGTTGGAGGAAGTATGTTTGTGTCGGGGTGGGCTTTGAGGTCTCATATGCTCAAGCACGGCCAGTGAGATAGATCACTTCCTGTTGCCTGCAAGATGTAGAACTCTCGGCTACCTCCCCAGCACCATGTCTGCCTACATGCCACCATGTCCTGCCATGATGATGGACTAAACCTCTAACTTTGTAAGCCACCCAATTAAATATCCTCCTTTATAAGAGTTGGCGCAGTGATGTTATCTCTTCACAGCTATAGAAACTAAGACACCGATGTACAAAATTTAGCCTTGGAAGGAAGTGCTGTTGAGACAGAGAAGGACAGAATGGTAGGGCATATAGAGTCCCTGAATCAGACACTTATGACCTTGCTGTTGCTGGTGACAGAAAGTTACTACATACTGTGTCAGGTGTTCTGTGAACTATCCCTACATTCTGGACATTGCTCTGGGCAGTGTTTCACTATGTATATTATGCAGCACACGTTAAGCCAGCCGGTGTTGACTGCTGCTACCTACAAAGATGTATTGCCCCATATGTGCTGCAATGATTGTGTTATGGAAGTTAGGTGAATAAATAAGATGACTAGCCAATTCTGCACAGCTCTACAATACATATAAAACATTGGCAAAAGAACAAAAACTTTATATCTATGTGTATATAGTCTCAATTTAAACATAAAATTTTAGGATTTGTAAAATTTCACATGCAAGAGAAGTCATTTATTTCTGAAGTGATTAGTGTTTTAATACAACCAATGATTGTACTTATCATGACATGTTACAAATAGGGTTTTCTATTACTCTGCTGCTCAAGAAACAAATGGACACCGCCTATGTTTGACAAATCCTTAGCTGGAGATGAAGTTCACTTGAACACACATACACTCATGTACACACACATTAAAACATGTGACAAGCACTGAAGTGCAACCTAATGTTAAAAAATCAGTTTTTTCCTCTGGATAAGTGAAGCTGACATGTTTTGGACAAACTAGTAAAGTCCTCAGCTGAACTAATCCAGTCCTTTTGTTTTCAAGGAAGCTCCAGCTATGTAAATACTTTACTAAAAGTTGCAGTAGTCATGAAGCAGGAAGAAACAGAACTCCCATTAGCAGTCCCCACTGTCCACGAAGGGAACAAAATCGTGACGGAGTACTGACATTCACTTCACTTTGAATTAAACAGAGCACTGCCGTGCATCTCAAGAGACAATATTAAGTTCTGTGTTTGGGTAATACCAGGAATTCTACAGGCAGGGGCAGAATTATGTGTGGTTGGCTAAAAGCCAACCGTACTTTACACTTGTCCTAGAAGTAGGTGGTCAAAAACTCAGTTCTTGTCATCAGACCCACTGGCTACAGTTGCTTAAAGGATCGGGATCTCAAAATCTTCTGTGGTCCTCATTTTGAAGATAAAATAAACACCAAGAAATAAGGTAAATGAAGTGGACTTAATGGGCAGTGAAAGAGGCTCAGTTCGAATCGTCCTTGGGGAAAAAAGCAGGTTCAGGCAGACATTGCCACACAGGGACACAGCAGAACTGGGTTTCCCACACAGCATCATCAGAGATCGGAGACACACATAGTCACATGCATGGAACGTTTTTCACCTCAGGAAGTAAGACTCAGAAACCAAGGCAAAGAGTAGGCCCATTTGCACCTTTCTCTCAACTCTCTTTAAAACATTCTGTAAACTTTCTAGGCTTTACAGTGTGTATGTTTCAAAAGATGCCCTCACATGTGACAGGGACAAGAATGCTTGTCGATGCGTCTGGCTTTCCCATAATAGTATATAATGCCCCTCTCTAATAAATTTACCATTTTTTTTAGTGTCTGCATTCTGTTAATTTATAAAAAGCAGGGTGCTGTCAGATCAAACGTCATGAAAATGATCTATAAACCAGACTGTCAAAAGTGAAAGGTACTCGGGCAGACTTACAGGCAGGGAATACATACAAACCACTGGAGAGGGTTCCTGTGCATGCGGCGAAACAACAGCCCACAACAGGGCTCACATTACCTTGATTTGCAAGTTACTGTGAGGTCACAGGAAATCCCGAAATGTTTTCCACATTTTCTTTTATACATTTTATGTCAAATTTCCTGCAATTGAAATCATAAACCCTCCTACTGCTGGACCCTCTTCTAAAGGAAAGGGGATCTTTTGACACTCCCCTATGAACACCTAATAACTCAATTCCTCCTAGTGTAAGAAGAAACTGAAAGACAGAATTGAAAATAGAGTATGATAAGGGTTGAGATGTCACGTGGCTCAATTCCTTCAAAACAAGAGTCAAACTGATGATATTAAGACAACTTGAAAAGTGCATTTAATATAGTGATGGCTAACTCCCTTTTGGAATAAGAGACAACAGAAGGAATGACAGATTGTCCCAAAGAAGGAGCCACACCATTTCTCTAAGTCTCTTATCCTAAATGCACTTGTGGATTTATAGTCTAATTTTAAAATGGCATCTTCTATATGGGTACTTGTGACAAGATTCAAGTTCCCTACAACCATATTTTATCGGTCCAGTTGTGTTTATGAAAGGATAAGTCAGATTTAAGTTAAACGTTGAAGTTTAAAATACCGCTTGGAGATTTATCTCTCCCACCTGTGGCAACTGAGGGTGGTCAAGTGTGGTTGAGTAGAGACCCACAAAATGGAAATCATGCTGAGTAGGATGAAGGTTCATTAACGATACCCACTTCTAAGGTTCTGCTGGGTTATGAGTCATTAGCATACATTACCTCTCCAGACATATCAGGGGCCATGGGGATGGCAGGCCACAGAGATGAGTAGATTCCGAAGAACACCACCCAGAGAGCGATGCTGCCCCAGATGGCAATGTGGCTGAACTGTGAGAAAGGAAATCTGTGTCAAGACACTCCCATCCAGTCAAGCACACAGACGTTACTGAACAGTCGCAGATTCCCTTCCGCTCTGCATTAAATTCAGAAAAACACCACCTCCCGAAATTGTGCTATAACTGTATGCATTCATCCTATAATCTCTGTCGTTGCTCTCTGCTCTGACATCTATCCTTTTTATCCGCCGCTGTCTTCCACTCTCCTTTATCTTTCTTTGCTCTGCATGTTCTTTCCCAAAGACATTGGACACGCCAGAGAGAATTACACAGAGGTCAACGGGTGTCACATCCAAATTTCTTGTTCCAACTTCCCTCCTTGGGCATCAAACTCTAATTTTGTTGTCTTTAGTGAGTCTCTCTACCTGGAAGTTGCCAGGCTGTGAAACTAATGTGTTGCAAACGGAATGTGTTTTATACAGACTGTGCATTCATTTAAGTGTCTGGGGGACAGATCTCTAACTGTTGTGGGATAATCTTTTCGTACACCCTGAAGATGTGTTTTTGCCAAGGCACCTTCTGATTGGTTCAATAAAGAGCTGCATGGTCAATAGCTAGGCAGGGGGAAGATAGGTGGGATTTCTGGAGAGAGAGAGGGAGAGGAAGAGGAGAAATCTAGGTGGGATTTCCCACAGACTTGGAGCAAGTAAGATGCACCATAATGAGGAAAGGTAACCAAGCCATGTGGCAGAATGTAGATGAAAAAAAAATACAGGTTAATTAAGTCATAAAAGCTAGTTGGAAACAAGCCTAAGCTAAAGGCCAAGCTTTCATAATTAAGAATACATCTCTGTGTCCTTATTTGGGGACTAGTGATCCAAAGATAGTCTGACAAGATAGCTTGCTACATCTCACTAATTTTATTGTTCATCAGAATTATTTTCCAAACAGGTTTCCTAGGGAACACCAGTTCTACGACATGGTAAGCCTGAAAGTCTCCATCTGTGTGAGGTGGTAAGAATGTGCAATACTAAGGTAAAGGCTCGAGAGGTCTCAGTAATAAACTCACCTGACTCAGTGTCTTCAATCCACAATCCCTACTTCTCCTCCTTCCATGCCCTAATGCACCATAATCAATAACTGCAGGCTTTGTAATACAGAGACATGTGACTAGAGATATTCTTACCCATGTCCAATATGAGGTTTCCAGTCCAGCTTTCAAACACACAGTTATCACTACAAACTGAAAACAGAAAGGGGAAATGTTACTTCGTCTTCTATATTGTGTCATCGGTATCATAATCTATCAAGTGACAAACAGGTATGAATTAAATGAGCCATGTGCTCATCACACTCGTGGATCAGCTGAGTGGTGCTCGTTAGGACATGATGATAGTTGTCATTTGCATGTCCTGCTGCCCTCTCCTGTCTCTGCTCACATTCACAGCTTCAGAGTCTGTCAAGGAGGCTACCGAAGGCTCTGCTGTCTGTACTCTGTACAACTCATGAATAGCAAGTACTTATGTCTCAAGCTTCTTTTAACTGAATCTTTTTCACTAAAAGCTCACTTTCTGGATTTTAAAGATACATCACAGAAGTAAACAACTAAGATGTTTAGGAACCTAAGTCTTTACTCTGGAACTTTATGTAAGTATAGTTATGCAAATGTAGGCTACAAGAATCAACCACTTCTTGAAATACACACCATTTGTGGTGATTATATGGGAGTCCTGGCTAATGTTATTTCAACTTGATACAGGCTGAAGTCATCTAAGAGGAGGGACCTCAATGGACAAGATGTCTCCATAAGATCAGGCTATATGCAAGCCTGTTGGGCCTTTTCTTAACAAGTGATTGATGGTGAGAGGCCCAGCCCATTGTGGGTGGGGCCACCCCTGGACTGGTGGCACTGGGTTCCATGACTGAGCAAGCCATGAAGAGCAAGGCAGTAAGCAGCACCCTCCATGGCCTCTGCATCAGCTCTTGCCTCCAGGTTCCTGCCCTGTTTGAGTTCCTGTCCTGACATCCTTTGATCATGAACAGTGATATATACTCATGAGTGAAATAAACTCTTCCTTCCCCAAGCTGCTTTAGGTCAAGGTGTTTGATCACAGCAACAGAAACTCTGATTAAGACAATGGGTAATTCTGAAACAAAAGCTTCCTTGACTTTCCTGTATCTCTCTTAGCAACACTGCAATGGTTAGATACACCTGTTTTGGTGTCAGATTATGAGCTGCTTTGGTTAATAAGTGGGGCAAGTTCATGCATCAGTATATTCAGTTTCTTCATCCCAAAACTTGCCTCCCTGTGAAGACTAATCTTGACTGTCAACATGAGTGGACTGAGAGGCACCTAGGAGACAGAGCAGTCCACACTGGGGTTGTCTGTGAGGACATTTCCAGAAAGCACCCTCTATAGGAAATCTCCCTCTGAGAGAGGGGAGTGCCTCCCATGTGAGGTGAGGGCCCAGATGGAAAAAAGGGAGGGAAGGGAGGAAGCAGGTGCGTGTATGTATGCATTCTCTCTCCCCTACTATTTAGTGGCTGTCACAGTGTGAGTGTCTGAGTGTCTCCACCCTACTATAACCCCCTGTTCTGGGTTTTTTCTTTCTTTTTTGTGGCGGTCATCTCAGAGTCGTGGCATCTCCAGTATCCTGGGTTTTTGACTGTGACTCAAGGTATACATTCATCAATGGCCTTTTTCCTGTGCTAAGCCTCAGTTTCTCTCCATGACTCCTCAATCCTGGGGTCTCCACTGCAACCGAGACTGCGTTTTGAACAATGACCTCTGCCGGTCCCTCTTCAGGGAGACTCTAGTCCTCTCACATACTGCCAAGCCTCAGCCACTCTCCATGATCCTTCCTGCCTTCAAAATCAGAACCACATGGGAGACCCTTACCTAGTTCTACAGTCGGTTACATTGGTCCGGCACTGTGCACCGACCCGGAAGAAATACTTCCTCAAAGATTTCACCCCAATGATGCTGGTCTTTTATTAATCACTGTTGCATGTTTCCAGCCCCTACTGACCAGAATCAATTGTTGGATTGTGCCAGCAAAGCAAAGATTTTGCTTCTGTAGCACTGGTCCTCTTGTTAAACACAGCTAACTCTTCAGCTCCAGCTGCCCAGAAACTGCAGATTTTCAATTCAAAATATTATACTAAAGGCCCTGAGAGTCTTTAAGGGGCTCAAACTTCTCTTTGAAACTTCCTAAGTCAGGCTTCACTGTCATTTCCAGCCTGAAGCTCTACAATACTCTCCACAAACAACATGGTAAAGTTTGGTTTAGCAAGGCCCTACTTCTGGTACCAATTTCTGTTAATAGTTTGTTTTCTGTTGCTGTGATAAACACCACGACAAAAAGCAACCCGGGGAGGAAAGGGTTTATTTCATTACAGGTTACAGTCTATTGTAGAGTGAAGTTAGGGCAGGAACACGTCAAGAACCTGTAGGTAGCCAGGTGGTGCTGCTCTCCTTTAATCCCAGCCCCCAGGAGGCAGAGGCAGGCAGATCTCTGTTAATTGGAGACCAGCCCAGTCTACAGAGCGAGTTCCAGGACTGTCAGGGCTATTATACAGAGAAACCCAGCCTCGAAAAACCAAACCAAACCAATCAATCAATCAATGCACCAGTCAAACAAAAAGAACCCGTAGGCAGGAAATGAAGCAGAGACCAGAGGCACTTCTCTTAGGTTCACATTCAACTACAGGTCTTATACAGCTCATGCCCATGTGTCCAGAGATGGCGCCACTGTATCAATTAGCAATCAAGAGAATGCTCCACAGCATGTCCACGGGCCATTTGATGGAGGCAATTAATTCCTCACTTGAGATTTCCTCTTCCTAAGTGTGTTAAGTTGGCAACCAAGATCAATCATCTATCTTCTCACCATGATGGATTGACATCTTTGGTACTGTGAGCAAATGAACTTTTTCTCCCAAGATGTTTTGTGCAGATATTTGTCTGCAGTGATGAAAAACCAGCACATCTTCATCACAAGGTTGATTTTAATTACAACATGGAATATGGAACACTAAGATCAACACTCATATTATGATGATCTATTTATAACTACATGTAAAAAACCAAAACATCACAAGTCAAGGAAACTCTGGGCATTAGGATTACCTCGTAGCACCGGAAATGGATTTCTTGCCTAGGACTGGTGACTGCCAATGCCCTTAGTGTCCAACCCTACTTTCAGGTTTTGGGGACAGTGTATGTTTAGACATTTTTGAGCCAGGTTGAAAGTTAAGATATAGGTGGGTACAGTTGGATTTTCTCATCAGGATATCTGTTGTTAAATTATGATTAATATCTGCAGACATCAAACTCATATGAGTGAATATTAGTTAGCTTAAGCTATGTAAAATTTCTAATAAATGACAAAATGAAAGAAAAGCACTATTCCTGAGACCTGAGACTTTAAAGCGTGTCCCCAAGAGGCAGTCAAAATATGAACTATGGCTTATCTCCAGCTACCAGGTTAAGCATATACACAGTTCTGTTTTGGCATTCATGCTATAAGAGAAACATCCTCTCAAATATGGTTGTGCTTTTCTTTTATTCCTTCATGGGAGAGCACGGGTGGAAAGAAATTAGAAGATTTTCCCAAACCTGAACCCCTCTGGATAACTGAGTATAACTTCTGCTGCTGTGATAAAACACCACGAGGGAAAATAACCAACATAGAGGCATTTGATTTGACCCGGCTTACAATTCCAGGTTACAGTCATTATTATGGGGAATACAAGGCAGGACCTTGAGGAATCATATCCGCAGTCAAGCAGAGAGAGGGAATAAATGCATGTCTCTGTGTGTGCTTGTGTAATATTCATCTGGAATTCCCTATTTCTATACAACGCAAAGCCCAGACTATGACCTGGTGCTACTCACATTCAGCAGAGGGTCTTCCCAACTCAATTAGCAATCCCCATAGATGATATGTTCATAGGTCAAGCAGATCTAGAAAATTAAGTCTCTCTTCTACATTGTGTGAAGTTGAGAGTTCAAACAAGTCAGCACGCAAATGAACTTCTTATTCAATTATTCCGACACTTGAGAATTGTATATTTTAGTTATCAGTGCTGGGAACTGAAATGCATTCTTCTTTGAGCTAAACTCTCAGGCTCAAAATGACATTTGAGCACTGTTATCACAGAGTCAGCCACACCAATGGCTGGTTGGCCATACTTTCTCTATGTGGAGGCTGAAAAGTAAGTGAGTGAGTGAGTGAATGAGTGAGGCATATAAGGAATAGACAGAGTGCTGGTCACAGAATGCAGAACTCAGTTTGAAATGACTGTGTCTGGATTCAACTGAGTGACCACGGACATTAGCATTTCACAGTCCTCTTGAGTTTTAACAGAAAAATGGTCTGAGTGCTTTCTGGCATCGTAGAGGCAGTGGGAACTGCTTGGTGGGTCTTTGGCAACTGTTACATAAGCCTGCAGATCACTCATTAAAAAATACTGTGTGTGTTTGAATATGTGCTTGCATGTATATACGTGTGCCGCTTGTGTGCCTGGTGTCGGCCAAGGCCAGAGGAGAGTATAAACACCCTCTGGACTGGAGTTACAGATGACTAAGGGCCATCACATTGATGCTGGATACTGAACCCAGGTCCACAGAGGCAACCAAGTGCTCCTAACCATTGAGTGATTTCTTTAGCTCCAGTTCACTCTAATGCACCCAAGAATTCCTTGAGGATGTTTGGTAACATTCAGGAAGGCAAATACAACATAATATACTATAGATGGCAGTAGGACAAATTTGAGGAGAAAGTTAAAAATGAGAAAAAAATTGAGAAAATAGCTAGTAAGAGTAAAGAGGAACTACTGAAAATCGAAGTGACAGAAACCTTCTAAAGCCAGTGAATCCAAGTCATACTTACAAAGAGCCAGTGTGGTGGTACACAGGGCCTGATCATCAGTCTTGGCACTTGGGAGGCTGAGGTTGGAGGACTTTGAGTTGAAGGCTAGCCTGGGCTACACAGTGAGGTCCTGTCTCAAAACATAACAAACAACAACAACAAAACCCAAATACACAAAACCAATCCAACAAAGCCTTATATGGAAAGCTGTCAACGCTCCAAATGCCTTATTTCCTTTTTAAAGGAAACCTTACATGACCCTTAAGCTCACCCTGCACACATTTAAATCTGACAGGAGAGGGGGCAGAGAGAAGAGGCCTTGGCTCTAGACAAAACCTTGCCAGGGGCTGAACTCACCGTGTAAACAAAGTTTCCCAGAAGCAGGTAGTCTGAGGTTTTCCCATTTCCAAATACCGTGCCTGCAAGGAAAGAAGAGAGGCTAGTTAGGAAGAAGGCGAAGGAAGGTTCAAAAAACAAAACAAAACAACACAACAAAAACAACCGAGAAAGCAACTTAGTCGCTTTGAATATGAAAAGAACCTAGAGGCTCGGGGTGGGGCCAGAAATGAAGTGTATCTTTGAGACCACACTGCTATTCCTCACAAAGTTGCTACAGATGGGCCACAAATTGAACACCAAGTGGAAAATCTGACTGGCTAACCAATTCTTAGACTCCACTATGTGAAAATAAATACACAAAAACGTTGAACTCGTAATCATTTGGAAAGCTTAAAGTTCTGCACATTGACAGGAAGCGATGTTCTGAGTGCTGTGACAGCATCAATAAGAGTCACAGGACCCTTCTCAATAAAGCTGCTAACATGCAGTCAAGAGGGATCCATGAAAAACCTTGCTCAGACACCGGGGAGTACCAACCTAACCCCACACACATGATGCTTCATGAGGCTTTGTTGGCCTGGCTGGATTTTTGGGTATATTTAAAGTCTTTCGTTATTCTAGGAATGAGTAACAAGAAATAACTACAGATGAAGGAATAGCAGCTAACCAAGAGACGCTATTACTGGCTGAAGACACTGACACTCAGTTCCCAGTGAACTCAGCTCTGTTACGAAAGGCAGCATGAGGCTCTCCACTCAGGTGGTTTTCAGATTCACACAAGTTACATGTGCTGTCTGGGGACACGCAATGACACTTGGACAGCTCTGTCAAATTACTGGCTTTCATTCCTGGTCTTTGGACTTACTTAGAAATGATGGAGCATCCTCAGAACTTTCTACAGCGTTCATGCTTTATAGCTATCAGTATTTACCAAATTAGAAACTAAAACAGAACATTAAAAAGTCTGTATTTTATCCAAAAATAACAGTAATAAACCCAGTGCAAACTCATATAAACACATTTTATGAAAAACAACTATTTTTCTAAACAAAAGTGAGTGAGAAAATTGGCATTATTTTACATTAATCTCCTTAATGTCCAGAATTTAACAGATTACAGCTGGGCTCTCACATGTTACCCTGGTTACAATATTTCAGAGAAATAAGGATTTGTAGAGATATACATGGACTCATGATGGGTGTGTCTATATTTATTTTGGTAATCTTTTCCAATAACTCTTTTATACTACATCAAAACTTAACAAGCTGTTTTCTTTTCTTTCTTTCTTTTTTTCCCCCCAGAGGTAAGGGTGTTCTTTGATTTTGTTTTTTTAAAGGACAGTTGCCAGTATGGAATTTGAGACTCCACTAGTGAACTCTGTGTACTTGGTTACATTAAAATCCACCGGTCACGTGGCATCACACAAGACTGTAATCGTGTGGAAGCCAGTGGCTTGGACTCATGAAGTGAACCACCTTTTCCACAGCGCAAGCCACTGAGCTCGGAACAGCAGCCACCGTGCTTTTGTGTCTGTCTGTCTGGTCTCCTGGAACTCTACCGAACACACAAGTGTTCAAGGGTTAATCAGAGCATTGGCCTACAGCTCCTTTAAGGGCAACCTTAAGTGAAACTGGCTAGCTACGTATACAGCAGTGGAGAATGAGAAGACCAGCCTCACTGCCACTGTTTTCACCAAAGCCCTACACTGTGTTTATATAATAATTGAGAAAGACAAAAACTATTACAAAAAAATTGATCAAATACTCAAATTTTGACCCCACAGACTTCCAAAAGCTCTTGAGTTTTATAAGACATTTATAGACAACTCCTGGAACTGTTTCACTAAAAATGATTATTGTGTTTTATATACTTTTATGGACTCCAATTCTTTCTTCCATCCTTTCAAAGCAAAACAAGTCGCCCACTCTCCTAGTACTCACTTAAAAGTAGGAAAAAGGGAAACAATTATGATGCCCCCAACGTCAAACTGGGAACTCGAAGCCTGTGTTACCTATAAGTTGTTCTTTAAGGAAAAAGCCAAGGGCCCTTGAGATTTGTCTGGATTTAGTTTCCCCAGGCAGCAGCTGCTGGGGACGGCGGGGCTGAAGCCGGCTGATGTGGACTGTTTCCCAGGAAAACACAATGAGAGATCTGGCATGTCTAAAGTATATTGTATGCTGTTTGGCTTGGCTTATTTTTGATATTAAATTTCCCTTTTCTAGTTTAGGATGTTGAAATAGTAGCTTTATGGATTGGCGATATCTTGCTTTTAATTCTTATGTTGATTTTTTATATTTTGGAAATTAACTTTACTTGGTGGATTTGACCGAGGTCAGGATATCTTGAATTGCACCCTGGACTTCAGTATTTGATTGCTTCATGAAGCAGAAACAATATAATGTACATCAACTGATTAGTGGAACTAAGGAATGGTATATCTATACAGTGGAATATTATTTAACCAGAAAAGGGGATGAAGTACTGATTGATATTGCAATGTGGAAAAGCCAAGTTTATGTACATAATTCCATTTATGTGACACGTTCAAATGGGCAGGTTCACAGAGACAGAAAAATTAGTGGTTCCAAGGGCTAAGAAGAGCCTACAGGAAATCAGGGAGCGACTGGTAATGGGCATACGATTTCTTTCTGGGGGGGTGCTAACACATTATGGCTTTGGCATTATATGATGGTGACATTCGCATAATTCAATGACAATACTAAGAAAACCACTGAACGGTGCATTTTGAAACTGTAAATGTTGCAATAACTTAATTATACCTCAATAAGAAAACAAACTATTTCCCATGATCTTGAAATTAAGCAGTGTTTACTGTTACAATTTCCTGAGTAATTGACAAAGGGGGATTAAAATCTTGGCTAGGGCAGGAGCCCAGCACTTTCTCTGGAACGCATATGCTTTCACAGTAATCCAACTACAGCTGACTCGGTACCTATGAGAAGGCAGGCACTGTTTTGAGCACCGCAGATATCACCAAACCAACTCACTCCTCAGTCTGTTGAGGCTTAGAGGAGAAAGATGATGCAGAGAGGCCAAAACATCAAACCAGGCAAGGCAAGCGACGTGCAGACCTAGGACTGAGTGCCGCAGCTTGGGACAGGGGTGACCTGAGAGAGCTTCTCTGGGCACAGCCTCTCTGGGGGAGAACACACAGCCTCTGGAGGTGGAGGATTTTGTTGCAAGCATGGTAAGCCTTGAGGTACTTGGATTGGTTGATGTTTTATCAAATTCATTCTGGAAACCCATGCTTAAAGGAGTTATGTGGGGACAAGAACAGGCAGTGTAGCATTATGCCAACAACCACCAGTTCCTAGGTGGTGGGGTTTGCCTGTTAGGAAGGACTGACAGCTACTTGAGTGCAGAATGAGCCAGCGTTTTTATTCTTGCAGCCTTGGAGCGCAGCACTGAAGAGCCAGCAACTTCTTTAGCACCCTAGGGAAGAGGTCTGCCCTGGGACTCAGAGTACCAGGCTAGGCATGACAGACAGCCTTCCTCCCTGAGTGGCCACTTCATCATTTTTATGTACATAGGAAACATACCATGATCCTCTCCTTCAAAACTGATGGAATAAAATCACTCCCTTGAAACTAGCTGAGGGGGAAAAAAAAAGCACACACTCCAGGATGAAGGGAAAAACATATTTAAAATGTCAGCTCAAGTTCACCTGAAAACGCTAGCCCAACTGATAGGGCTCAATTGGCAGTGCTCTATATAAGCCTCAAGGTACAATAAACAGATGACATGAGACTTAGCACTTATCCACACAGCACACACTTGCAAAGGGGGGTGGTTCTCAAGTTTGCAAGTTTGGGAAGCATGAGAGGTAAAGAAGGGCTTTGCATAGAGTAAATCACTTGACTCCTAAAGGATCATAAAAATGTCTGCTGTGTGCATAACTTTGGGACGCACAACATTTCAGATTAAGGAAAATGCCACAGAAGGAAACAGCGCCATAACTCTGAACACGCATCGACAATGAGCTACTTTCCTAAGATGGTGAGACGCCACCTCTTGGCATTCGTATCCTTTCTACTTACCGTACTGAAGGGCTTTTAGTGGGAACCAAAACAGAATAACTGAGTGGAATAGGCCATTCAAACAATGAACCCAGAAAACCTGAGGGAAAACAAGAATCCATGAGAACCATTTGCGATAAACTCGTGCTGTGACCTCTGACCTCCCTTTTTATCTATGAGCTAGACGCACAGAATGTGTTTCTGCTGGGGCCACCACTGTGAATTAATAGAACTGACAGACACTCTCTGCCTTAGACGTTCATGGGTCATTTATTTATTTTTATGTTTCTCAAGATGTTTTTTCAGCTTCACTTGGATTTTTTTTTCTACTTAAAAGGAGAAATCCACTATCAAAAGTTTAAATTTCTGCCCGCTAAAGGGGAAAAAAAATCTTATAACAAATGCAGATCCTGGAATTTCTTACACTGGAATTCTTTTCATAATTCTAGAAAAATAGACCTTTACAAGACGATGACTGGGAAATCCATCCCTGCTTCCTATCCCACTACTCTGCAAATGTTTCTGTGGTACAAATGTATGATGTTGGCTCCCTCTCTTGCAATACACATGCACATGCACAGATTGTTAAAAAAAAAAAAGACGAAGTCTAACATTTAGATGATATATTCATTAAAATAAAGCATTGCGACTATGCCTGAACTTATCAAAGGCTTTTACAATTGTTCAGCATCTGTCAATACCAAGTTTCAGACAATCACCACAGCCACTTAACAGCCATGACTTTTTATGTCTTGTGTATTACGAATAGGAGAGCAGGCATCATCGGGACTTGTCACAGAATGTGAAAGATTGAGTTATAGAAAACTGCTCAGAATCTTTATGAGCCCCCAAACAACTGTAGTTTCATCATTTAAGACGGCTTCCTGCAAACAAAGCTTAATGTTAAATACAATTGGCATGTATTAATAGTTTTAAGCTGTTCAAACAACAGAAATTAAGTTGCCTGCCTCCCAAAATTTTCCACTGTGATCTCAACCTCCTTTGTTAATTCACCCAGCCACGCTGGGCTGTATGATCCAATTTACGCTCCAATACTTTACACATTTGAACTTGTGTTACTCATTAACCTTTGTTGCTACTCCACACTATGTCATTACCGCAAGTTTTTATTTGACAGAAAGCACAGGTGGGTGCAAGAAAAATTAGTTCTACTTTTCCATTTTCCTGACTGATACTTATTGTCACATGCTAATCCTTTAACCCCTGTCACGACCTCAGAACCTCCGACCCCTTTTACCATAACAAACGTAAGCCTCATCATTCAAGGGAACAATGCTTCCACACTCGGGACCCTCGGCAACCGCTGTGTAGACAACTATGCATTTTGTAACCATTTGTTCCTGAATTTTAAAACATTTAGATGGAATGCAATCAAACAGTTTCTCTGAAATCATTTGCCAAAAATCTGCAAGTCCTAGAAAAGTAGATGGGAAGCTGAATATATGAGCTAAATACATACTCAAAGAGATATAGGACCTGTGCAGCCCAGTTGAGTTGATCTGGAGTTTTCTAAATGATCCGACTCTACAGATATTGAAGTACTTTTCAATAAGAAAAGATAGAAGGAAAAAGTTACTCTTACGTCAACACTGCGTACTACCTGTTATGCCCTTTTTCTGACAGCACCATACCCATAATGGTCATGCGTGGAGTGCGTGAGAGGTTGGAGCTTTTCAGCAACGACAGGGTAATCATGGGAGGATCAATGCATGGTCACATTTGTGGCTGGAAGCTAACTTCTGAGATAGCATCACAGAGCCCAAACTATGGGAGGCAAGGACCTGTAGCTGAGCTTGCTAAAGCCCACTAGACTGGTGAGAATTATTGCCTAGGCACCAGTCTGCACGTGGCTCCCAGATCACTTTTACAGCAAAACAAGAGCTCAAGGCCACTGCATATGCCTTGACCATAGCCTTTTATCATTTGAAAATGTTCATCATAGCTGATGAAAACCATGGCAGCAATGTGGGGAAAATTTGATATGAATTGTTAACAATAGATAAATAACCTAAAAAAAAACATGTTAGAAATGTTAACTCAGACTTTGTATACTACGAAGAGAAATAGTTTAGGAATATACCACTACAAATATAGTTCAGAACCAGTGGTAAAAATTAGGCAAGCTTCGGGATGTTCGGTGTTTTAAGTTGACAAGTTTCAGTTATTTAACCTGAACCTATTAAGTTATATGCATGTGTGCCATGAAGACTGAGTCTCAGAAGAAAAAATAATTTCCTGGTTATATGCTTAACACTATCATTTACAGTGCAGAGTACAAAGGCACCAAGACTCCTGTTTCACTGTGTTCTTGGTATACTGAGAATAAACAGCACTAGAGAGCTTTATGAATTAATACATATTAAAAGTTCCTGTTCTAAATGTCTGTAAACTCAAAACACTGAATTGCAACTATATCTGTGTCAACAATTTACTATTAAACATGCGCTAAATTAAGTGGAAATGATTCGGTAAGAGGGCATTATATTTGTTCCTTTGTTTTACTACTAATCAAATACATGGCTATTAGCGTTTCAAAATGGCATCTACCTTGGTTGTTGCTGCTTTAAACTCATCACCTCAGTTACACCAAACAGAACCCTGAATCATTATGAAATACTAGTGTGGAAACACGTTAGAAGACGACACTTGCAGGTAGGTAAACTACACAGAAATGAAATCTGTTGTTGCTGGAATGACTAAATATCACAGATCACAGAAGATGACAGTAGCCTGTGATGTGTTAGGTTGAGTATGAGCCCAAGCAATGCAGTCAACTCAAAGATCTATCAGCAGATGAATGAACAGTGAAAATTTGGAACATTTACATGGTGGTAGCATTTCATTCAGCCATAAAGGAAAATGAGCCCATGAACCTTGAATGGAAATGGAAGGAACTGGAAACTACTATATTAAGTGAGGTAGCCCAGGTTCAGAAGAAAAAATCCTGTGTGTTCTTTCTCATCTTTGGCGCTTAGATTCTCTCTTTTAAAAAAGCCTGATTATTGATTCTTTGTGGATTTCACATAATGCATCCTGGTCCCACTCGTCTCTCCTCTCCTTGACTCCGCCCTCTATCTTCGGACTCCATGCCCTCCTCCCTGACACCATAGCTTCTCCTTTTCATGCATGTATGTTTAGGTGAGAATGTTTAGAGACCAGGAAACTAGCAGGAGGCTCAGGAAAGGAGAGAGGCTTGAGGAAGGGCAGTGGGAAGGGTGCAAGAACACATGAGATAGGAAAGTACAGGGAAATGCCTGGGGTAGGAAGACACAAATGAGGGTGGGGGAGAGGGAGGGACAAAGAGGGTCAACCGAAGTAATCACACAGGAGAATGCCATAAGGAAACCTGTCACTTCTTATGCTAATGACCCTTCTCATGCTAATGAAGGAACGAACAACTTTCTAGATAAAAACAACAACAACAACAACAAAAAACCAAAACAACAACCCAGGCAAACTTCAGTTTTAGGTAAAATGCTGGATACTTCATCTTGCGTTTTTAATTTTAAGCCTCAGAGCTAGCAAGTAAACAAGAAGTTACATCCTGGAGGCTATAGTTTTAACGTTGGACTCACTTGCTCTAAAATTCTAGTGAGAACAACATTATTTCCTCAAACAGGAGGCTGGGAATGAATGAATGAGGTGACATTCCTCACCCCAGCACAAGTACAGCCAAGCCTTGTCAGTCCTAGGTAACTAACTGGTGACCAGCTGGTGAGAAGTGAGCCTTCTCCAACACTGCCTGAAAGCACAGTGACAAGGTCTGGCAGGTCACATCCACTCATTGCTGCCCCAAGAACCCGATGAAGATGGTTTCATTTTAATTTTGTAACCCTTAAAAAACAACAACAGAAAATCCTAACAAACAAACAAAACAACAACCCCCAAACAATCCAGTCCAACCAACAAAACTCCTTTGACCTCCATATTTAGAACTTTATCATAAGACTTGCCACACTCAGTACGGAGTTCTTGGCTGAGGCAGGTCAGATGCCCCGAGCTTGCAGCAACAGAGAAAACCCCAGCTCCTACCTTGGTGTTGAAGTCCAGAGCGTTCTGAGATGTTTTGTACAATTCAGGGTACTTTAGCATGTTCTCCTTTCTGCACGATCTCTCAAATATCCCCAGAGTTAAGGGAGGCATTGCTGTAAACATCTGAAATGACATACTGCTTGTTACATCACAGCACTAGATGACGACGATTACAGTTATCCTTAGTAGTTACACAAAACAGGAATTATCAAAAGTGCTCAACTTACCACATTATAGAGCCCTATGCACCATCGCTCAAAGAGGATCTGTCCAGAGAAGCCATTGACAAAGGCAAACCAGATCTAGGAAGAAAACAAGCCCCAAGCCCCAGAATTAGGACACAGAATTTCAACACATCGAACCCGGAAAAGCAGCACCAACGGATTGTTCATGGGTCTCTGGACAGTGATATTTCTTGTCTTTACTTTTGATTTAAAGGGGGCACTTTCATGATATAACTGCTATTTGAGACAGAATTTGTTCTGTTTGCCAAATCTAAATATCTACATGGGCAAGCAATCACAGATTTAAAAATAATTAGGCATTATCTTGTTTCTACACGTGAATATATTTACATGGCATTAAACTTTCGTAGCTTTAATTCCCCTTTCAAAATCCCTAGAAGGATTCAGTTAAAGTTTATTTTTTGTTATAAATGTTATACTTATTTATTTAGGATGTAATTTCCTATAGTAACAGAATCATCATTTTCTTCTGTGTCATGTGTGTAGCTTATATAAATAATATCACAGGTTTATTTTACTTGAGACCAACCATATATAGAGTCACACCCTACTTCTTCCTCTTAACATTACAAAGAGCATTTGAGTTTTCACAACTCTTTAGCACACTGCTAATGGATTCAGAATTTCTGCAGTGTGGAGATTTAGCTGGTTCAACAGCTCTTGCTATCAGAAATGATTCCTAACCGAAACTGTACGCATTTTCCTTTTCCCTTAGGATAAGTACTTCAAGTAAAATTAATGCATTGAATATGCATCATTTTTTTCAACAGTTTTTATAATTATTGCCATTGGGATGTTAAATTTGAATCTATATATTGCAATCTTTTAAAATTAAAATTTAAATTAAAAATTTTAATTATGTGTAGGTGTGTGAGTCTGCGTGGGGCTATGTGCATGAGTGCAGGTAACCTACGAGACTGGAGGCACAGGACCCCCTGGGGTATAGTGACAGATGCTTGTGAGTGAACTTCAGTTTTAATGCTTGTAGAAAGTCAAATCTTTAATTACTAGAACATAATGTTTTCATATGTTTGTAATTTTCCTTGAAAGAGAAACCCTAACTTGGGAAACAAAATTTAGGAGTAGTATAGTTTTATTCAGCATATTTGAAACAAATACAAAATTAAAGTGATTACTGGCAATACCTTGAAAAAAGAATGCATTTGAAAGAGCCAACCTAAATATAATTAAAAATCAAGCAGACTTGGAAAAGAAAGGAGCCTGACCCAGCAAGAAGATTACACAGACACACCGCACAGTAATAGCAGACAGCAGGGAAGAACTTCTTGATTTGCAGCTCCAGAGAGCACATAGAGTCACAGGACCCTCGCTACACTTCATGTTTCGTTTAACCTCATTGTGGAAGCATGAACTGCTACAAATTTGACATTCATCAGTATGAACCCAGGACGCGCCCCTGCACCACAATGAACAGTTTCTGTACTGGCCTTCTTCGTTTTTTTAGAGTGGAAGGGAATGGTCGAGCAAGAATTAAGAGTGTATGTCTCCACATCAGTCTAATGGACACGATCTGGCTCACAGAGAATAATTAATTCTAGATGCATTGTTAAAGCACTGATACTGTGTAAGTTCATGTTACTAAATTGTGTATGGTCAATAATTATAGAGGTGAGTGGCTCCCTTTAGCTTTATTTGCATGTGACATTCTATTGTTAATTTAAGCACCATGAAATTAGATTTTAAGACCCTCCTTCAAGTCAATGAACAGACAGAAAGTTTGAAACACAAAAGAACTCACAAATAAACCAGCAAGTCTGCGTTCAAAGTGTATTTAAAAATATATAGCAGACTGTGTTATTATAGAAAACATTTCAATGGGAATTAACACATTTTTGTCACTACACTTTCTAGATGAAAAGGTATGTGACATGTGCTCTATCCTTTGTATTCCAAAAGGGCCATCTTTGTGTTGCTTTTCTTCTTAAAAGAGAATGGACTGGAATGCCCAGATAAGGACAGAGTCTTTCAGTACAGCAGTACATCTTCACATAAATAGTTTGGTATTGGCAAGTTTGACCTCTACATTTATTTTAAGGAGAATGAGAAAGTCCTGGACAGGGAAGTAGTCTACCACTGCCAGGTTAGTCTGAGATTTGCAGTTCAAGCCATGTCTTAGAAACACATCCCTAAGTAAGATGGAACCTGAATTACCATAAGCACAGAGAGTCCTTCCTTTTACCCAACTAAAGCCTTGGATGTCAAAAGCAAGCATCAGGTACCCAGATGATTTAAATTCCCAGGGAATTTACTTCCCAGCATAGTTCATTGGGAAAGCACCCCTTATTGACTTTAATGACTTTCTGCAAAGGGGAACGGCTACATTGTTTTGAGGGCTAAGAAAACCTAGACGCCACCAATTGTCTTAAAGAAAAGTTCTTCTTTGTTAGGAAGGCATCAGAGGATTCAGAAGGAAAAAAAAAAACACTTTTTAGAAGGAGCCAATAATTTAAGTGAACACCTACAGCCACTGCCAGGCAACGACGCCGAGTAAGTTTGCTATCGCCACCTGCTGAACCTGTGTGTGTGTGGTTGCAATTTACAGCAATGGAGGAGCCAGCTAGTGATAGCCCTGGCAAGACAACAACAAGAAAGCAGTTTTTGCTGATAATCTAGTACACCCTTTGGGTTTAGGACCATCCTTTATGAATTCTTTTCCAAGCTCTCCCCCATCCCCCCGCAGAGGCATGTCAGCTAAAGCCCCACAGACGGTTTCCTGATGGAGCACTTCTGCATATTAAGCAGCAGCTTGCAAAGAGTCAACGGTCCCTGCTCCCACGCCCGAACAGCACAAAAACAGAAAGGAGAGATCCCAGACTGGCAGTTGTCCTTGCTGGAGACATTCAATGATGTGTTTTCTGCCTATTCATTCTGGGTATTGACATGAGCCATTAACATCTGCAGAACTTGTTTTAGCTGGTAGAAGTTGGGTATGGGTGGAGTGTTTGTGTGTGTGTGTGTGTGTGTGTGGTGGGGGGAGATCGATTTAAAAGTTCAATCCATGTCCAAGGCAGTGAAATTATATTCAAAAGACATTTCCAAAAAGTGCTACCAGAAAAACAAAAACGAAGTTTCCAGTAAAGTATCTATCTTGCTTCGTTTTTAACCCGTTAAGAATGTAATCGGTGTTGAATAGCTCATGAAGAGGCTTTCCATTCAGAGCCAAGCCAATTCAGGGCTGGGTAACCACAAATCATACAATTCTGGTTTGAAACAGAGTGTGAGACTTCATTTTCACTTGAGTTAAACGAATTTTTAGTTTCCTCATTAGTACCTAAGTTTTCACACTTCAACTGTTGTTGCTGATCTAGATTTTAAAAACAAACGATTGTCAGCTAGTCTATACTTAAAATATTAGTTTATTTCATTAAAAATTATATTTCATACATAGCTATGTGCTGACAAACCTTAAATTCTTGGTTTAAGAGTTTTATTAAAAGTCTATGTATAACACTACCAATGATTTAAGTGAGAACATATAATTAGGAAAGTTATATATACAAGTGATGGGAATAAAAATAATAATTCTTTTAGGGAAGAACCAGAAATTTATATAGAAAACAAACATTTTTTGCTGTTATCGTTGTTCATTTTTTGAGACAGTCTAACTAGGTAGCCCAGGCAATCCTCATGCCTTAGTCTCTCAAGAACTATAGTAACTGGTATGCACCAAACTCCTGACTTCAAAGATGAAAAACCAAACAAGCAAAAACAACAAAACTTATAAATTACTTTGAACTTTTTCATTAAAACACAGGTTTTCCCGACCAAATCCAACAGTAATCAATGATGTTTATGTCTCCAAATATTTATCTGCGTTGGCTAAGAGCACGGAAACCTAACTACAGATATTTAATAGATGACATAGACAGCATACCTCAAAATTAAGTGTCAGTACCCCAGTCTAACTCATAACAAGCATTCTGACAGAGGTAACTGAGTCAACTATCTAGTAGTTTCCAAGGAACACAGCAGATGTGGAGTACAATATCTCTAGTGTAAAATATGGAGCTTATTTCCATAAAGAAGTAGGTAGGCCCAGTCCTTCCAACAGATGCGTAGAATTGTCCATGGAACAGAGGGAAAGGTGGCCCAGACAACCATCTGAAGGAGCCCTCAGCAAATCTGTGGGGATGTGGGCAGGCCCTAAGAAGAGTGGAGGATAGTTTTCTTAACAAGCCATCCACATTCCTCAGAGCTGTTCACAGGACGTGAAACTCAGACAATCTAGAGGCCCATTGTTATGATACGGTTTCTGATGACCTAGGGGCCATATAATAAAAAAACTGCAGGGAGCAGAGGAAGCCCTGAGTGAGTGACAAACTGGTGATATGGGAATAGTCACATCAAGCACTCGTGGAGAAAACGGCAAAGCCTTCCCTGGCCTACCAAGTGTGAGTGCTGACAGTGTAGACAGAAATGACCACCACAGCTTTGTCCCCAGATACGCACAGCCTGAAGATTGTTTCCTGACAGGGATGGCCTACAGAGAGTAGCTGGACCAGCCCCCTTATCTAGCTGTATACCATAAACCTTGCTTCCTCGTTTATCGATATGTAATGTCCCCGCCTCCTTCTTCAGGTGTATGAAATAACCCTGCCTCTATGCTCAACTCCTTTTTGTTTGTTTGCTTTTCCTCTGTGTAGTTTTGGAGTCTGTGCTGGAACTTGCTCTGTAGACCAGGCTGGTTTTGAACTCACATAGATCCACCTGTCTCTGCCTTCCAAGTGCTGGGATTAAAGGTGTGTGACACCACCACCTGGCAACTATGCTCAACTCTTTAAATAAGAACACTGAGCTTCTGGGTGATGTAGTTTCTCTGACAGAGAGCCCAGACCAACCAGCCCCAGCTTCCCACATGTTTTCCTTCATTACCTTGTCACCCACAGGCCAGGTCCAATTCCCTGGAGCTATGCAAGGACTTGACAAAAGAACCTTTGAGATTGGCTCAGGAGGTAAAGGCTCGCTGCCAAGCCTGAAGATCCAAGTTCCATCCCTGGAACCCACGTGGTGGACCTGGATAGAATAGACTCCTGAGCCAGGTGGGGCGGTAATGGCACACTACTTTAATCCCAGCACTTGGGAGGCAGGGGCAGGTGAATCTCTGTGAGTTTGAGGCCAGCCTGCTCTACAGAGTTCCAGAATAGCCAAGGCTATTGAAAAACCCAAAACAAACAAACAAACAAACAAACAAACAAAACAGTTCCTCTGATCTGCCTTCTGATGCTTGTACATGTCTACATCTATACCCACAAAATCGTAAATGTCAAAAAATAAAATGTGAATAGCCCTTCCTTGCTCACTTATCCGCCAACACTCTGTGGCTGACTCTGGGTCTGCAGGCCACATGCACTCTAGAGCACTCAATATGTAATTAGTTCAAATTGAGAGGCACTGAAGGCAAAATACATTCCAGGTTTGGAGGAAAGAATGTAGAACGTACATACAAGTGCAAAAAAATTTTTTTACATTGGTGAGAAGGATAATATTGACTTAAAATACAGTACTGGAATCAACTTGGGTTTTTGCTGTGGCACTTGCTAATGTAGTACCTAGAAAAATTAAATTACAGACATGGCTTCCATTGTACTCTACTGGCAAGATCAGGGTGTTTGGTGTGGGTTTTGCTAACATAGCGCCTAGAAAACTTAAAATTATCCATGTGACTTCCATCATACCCTATTGGTCACCTCCTGGGGTTACAGCCTATGCTTGGCTTGTTTGGTCTGGTATCTGGAGGACAAAATCAGGTTTTAATTCTGTGTGTTCATGTGTTTTTTCATGTGTTGAGGTGCTCATGTGTGTGCATGTGTATGGAGGCCAAAGGTCAACCTCAGGTCCCCTTCCTCAGAAGCACCCCACTGCTTATTAGAAACATTGTCCTGGAGCTCCCTCAGGCTAGGCTGGCTGGTTAGTTTAGGGACCTGCCTCTCCAGTGTCTTGATTACAGACACATGCTGCACCATGCCTGTTCTTTTAACATGGGCTCTGGGATTCGAACTCAGGTCCTCGTGCTGACAAATTACTACTTTACCAAGTGAGGTCCCCAGTCTAAGGCTTCATTTGTAAGATGATGTCATATTTGATATATGAAAAGAACCTAGAAATAGAATATTTTAGGGACATTCCTTATCTAAAAATTTTATTTGCCAAATCCAGAAACCAAAACAGGTGGATATCAAGGGGTAGATGTGACTAATAGAGAAGATCAAAGACAGTGGATCTCAACCTGTGGGTCATGACCCTCTTTGGGGTTGAACAACTTTTTCACAGGGGTCACATGACAGATCATCTGCATATCAAATGTTTACATTACAATTCATAACAGTAGCAAAATACAGTTATGGAGTAGGAACAAAACTAACTTTATGGTTGGGGGTCACCACATGAGGAACTGTATTAGAGTTGCAGCATTGGAAGGTTAGAACCACTGATCTAAGACAACAAGAATGCCAGACAGCTAAACTCAGAGAGGCTGTTGTGTACTTCCCAACTGCACTCAGGCGCCTCCCCTGGACCAGAACTAAACATTATCCTCTTCTTCACTCTACCAGCCCTGACTTTTATCTGATTGCTCCCCCCATCACCAGGATCGTTAGTCTTTAAATACAGTGTCCATGTGTTCTACCCATTAAATTCTGTACATGTTCAAGCTTTAGAGTCTTCACAGTTTCAGAAACCGAAGACACGACTCATTAGCAATTCTACCTCAGCTTTCTACCAACTTTTAGCTAGTGTCTACAAATTGATGGCTATTCTCTGACATCTTATCTGCTTGAACACACTGAGGAATTATTAAAAGTGAAGAAATGGCTCAGCAGTTAAAACACTGACAGTTCTTCCAGAGGACCAGGGTTTGAATTCCCATGATGCCTAACAACTATCTGTAACTCCAGCTCCAGGAGATCCACTCTATGGGTATTGCAAGCACATGGTGCTCAGACAGACATGCAGGCAAAACACCCATTCACATAAAACAAAAATATATCTCAATTTTTTTTCTTAAAAAGTTTAAGTGAGAAGATGAAGTACTCATGAAAACAATGAGAATAATCTCCATAAAGGGAACAGTTAGAATTATGAGTGATAGGGGCAGGACCAAGTTTAACGTGATGGTACCTCAATGATGTAGAGTACAATGTTTTTGTAGAAGCAGTACAAGATGCACTTGGACACTCGGTTGTAATTCCAGGCACCATGAACCATCAGCAAATTCTTCAAATACTTGAACTAGGAGAGGGATGGAAAGACATCAGTATTTTCCTCTTCACTGGCAGTTGATGGAAGGCAGTGCTGGTGTGTTTCATAGCCATGAGGTTTTACCTGCGCTATGGAGTAATCCGAAGAGTTGGCTGCCTGCAAACCTTCATTGCCACTTATCCCAACACCCACATGGGCCGTCTGTATCATGCTGACATCATTTGCTCCATCTCCGATGGCAAGTGTGATGACTTTGACTTGTTTCTTAACCATCTCAACCACCTCAGACTTCTGAAGAGGAGAAACCCTTAAAAAACAAACGCAAAAAAAAAAAAAATCAATGATCAGTCACCCATTTCCCGAAAAAGGAAAATTTGAAATGCTGTAAGTTTTTGATTAATAAATGAAGCAAAGCATCTAGATGTATGGTTCTCTGATGAACCATGATGGAAGGGTTGCAGATAGTTGGCTCTCTGCTAACCTGCCTGTTGCTTCAAGGGAAATTCAAAACAAAAAAGATAACAAAAGTTGTAGAAGCAAGTCTGTAGGTGATATCCAGGAGACATATGCGTTGTTAAGTACCAGCAAGTGACATCAGACATTTAATTCAAAGAGAAGGCATAAACAGCTATTGAGGAGGTAAGACACATCTCAGTGGTTAAGAGGATGCGTTTTTCTTGCAGAGGATCAGGATTCAGTTTCCAGGAGATCTGATGCCCTCTTCTGGCCTCTGTGGGTACCTGTCTCTCACATGCACATTCTCCCCTGTATACACATAATGGAAAGGCAAAATGCACCTAAAACAACCTAAGAATGGTAACAAGTCCAAATAATAACTAGGTTCTACTCAGTGTCTTGAAAGAAAAAGCTTTAAGCTTCCAAGAGCTGGTCACATGTAACATAAAACAGCTAAAACTACTGAAATTAGTAGTGGGGAATTGGCTAGCCTTTCAACCTGTTCTCAGACACTATTGTGAATCTCAAGAAAAGTAACTATCAGATGATGTAGCACAGTCCATAGGCTCCATTTTCTTCCAGAGGCACAGACTCACATGCATGCAGAAATCAAATAGTCTTTTCTGCAAATATGGACCAGGAACAGAAGGCATCAACGTTTATACTAACATCACATTTGGTATTAAATTTGAAGCTTTTTCCATGTATCTTAAAAAGTCATTTTAGAAATAAATGCCAAGATAATGATAGAAATGTTCTAAGGCAGAGCGCTTCGGCGGCACAATTAACTTAATCTATTGTCCATACTGTGTTGGAAATAGGAAGACAGGAAGACTAAACAGTGAGTCAGTCCAGACAACTATTAAGATAGCAATTAGAGCCGGGTGTGGTGGTGCACACTGGTAATCCCAGCACTTAGAGGCTGATGCACGAAGGAGGGTCATAAGTTCTAGGCCACCATGGGCTACATAGCAAAGTCCTGACACACACACATGGATAAGAAGCAACCAAGGTATAAAATGCTAGTGCACAGAAATGTCTTAGAGGTATATCATCATCACTGTCATCATCATCACTGTTATCATAGTTGTCATCATTGTCATTGTCACCATCAACATTATCATAATCATCACCATCATCTTGAGACATCTGAGGCAGTGTCAGCCCAAGCTGTACTTGAACTAGCTTTGTAGCTGAGCCTCTGGCATAGAACTCCTAATCATTTGGCTTCCATTTTCCCAATAGTGGCAAGTGCCAGTCTGCCTCACTCAGAGGTAAATTCTTTATTAATTTAAGTACCACAGGTGTGTAACAAATACTTGTCCAAACATCTTGTAAATGACTTGTTATCCTTTTTAAAAACAAAGGCCACTTAAGGAACGGATATGCTTTCGCATATACACTTGATTATGTTGATAATTCCCAGCAGAGGGAACTCTGTACAAACACATGCCTCCAGCAGGCTTGACTGCCCTGAGGAAGGGAGTGAGCTATGGCTCTGACTTCTGCCTGATGTCAGAGAATCGCAGCTTGAGCCCAAGTCACTCACTGGTCCAGTTGCCTTCTCTGCACTCTTAGTGGCTGATCCAGAAGAGGGACAGGTAAACAGCTACTATCTCAAAGCATTATTTTTAATTTGTGTCTTTGGATTTCCTTTTGGAGCCTGGCAACAGTACAAAATGACACAGGTCTGAATTCAACTGGAGAGTGAGTATCAGGCTACTAATGGCTCATTTCGGCGTCTGCCTCCATTTCTCTTCAAAGCAATTTCCATTCCATTTTCACGTTTTATTTAATTTTTCTTAACAGGCTAATATCAATTGGTAAGCCCACTGGCCCTAGGCCAAGGTTTTAAACACAGACTACGGCTGACATTTAGTAAATGTCAGAGAAGAATGCTCACCAGAAACACTTTAGGAAGCAAATGGAAATGAGCATGAATGAAGGGAAACATTTGAAAACATTTATCAAACTCCCTTTAACTGCTCCAAGTCTACACACATTATAAAATCACACCATGGAGCTAAGACACTGTGGAGCCTTTTTTATAAATTGAACCCACATAGTGAGCTAAAACGGTGCTTAAAGGGGCTTCAGGACGGAATTACACCAAAACTTTTGTCCCTTCTTCAAGGTGATGACAACCAGCGGCTACTGTCTCTGCTTCACATGGTGGGTAATCTTCATTGTGAGCTTGGTGGACCCCAGAATCACCCAGGAGACACACCTCTGGGAGGACCCTGAGGGAGTTTCCAGACAGGCTTCCCATACGAGAAAACTAGACGGGCTGAGCTTCCCAATGGAGTGAAAAGGGGAGGAAGCTGAAAACCCACCCGAGGACCCATCTTTCACTGCTTCCTGAAGGCAGGCATAGGTAGTGATGCTACCGACCACCCCACAATCCTGTCCCCATGTCATGTGGGCATGCCATGCTCCTGTCACCAGGCTTTCCTCGCCATCATGTACTCTGTCTCTCACACCATGAACCCAAACTTTCCTTTCCTTAAACATTCATGTCAGGGGTTTTAATCACAGAAATATAAAGTAATAGAACCTCTAAATGAAAATCAGGCAACTCTTTTCACCCACCTTGATGGGGACCACTGACTCACGGATTAAGAGAAAAGACCCTAAGCCAGAAAATGTTTGAGAAACAAAAAAAGAAATGGTGCTATAGTCAGAGGCAACCCCCAAAGTACATGGTGACTATAGCTGTCCAGGATACTCCAGGCTTAGAAGGAACAGTGAGAGCCACCATTTCTGGAGACTTTGGAGGCGCAGCTGGTAAGTAAAATGATGTTGGATTTACAAAATGCAAAACACACATTCATCTAAGTTCAGAATATAAAGTACAGACTTGTGAGTTAGAGTCTAGAACCTTCTTTTGTCAGGAAGCTTACTGGTTGACATCCTGGATTTTTCTATTGTTACAAAAATCTCACCTAGGAGGCACATGCTTTTTGTTTTCTAACATGAAGGTTATATTTTTTTCCATCCTAGTGGATGATTATCTTACATGCCATTCTCTATATTCGAAAGTAAAATTGTCAAGCATCTCATATACTTTTTAGGCCATCATACCTGGTTTTCTTAGCAACAACTTTCTTCAGATTATCTCAGAGATCAGGCAAGTATCTAATTAATGGCAATTACTTTGAGATATGCAACCTCAGTAAATACATTACAGAATATGCACGACTTGGAAGACACCAAGTCAACTCACGGAGGCAGAGGAGCAGGTGCTGGGGCAGCTGGTGACCATTCTGAGACCTGCGTGGGGGCGGGGGGGAATTCTGACTAGTGAAACTGAAGTCGGCTAAAATGATTTCTTACAGAGGTGTGTGTGTGTGTGTGTGTGTGTACGTACAGCATGCATGGGACATCAGAGGATAACCCCGAGTGTCGGCTCCTCCCCTTTCACTTAGTTGGAGCCAGGATCTCTTTTTGCATTTGTTGCTCATGTCTGGGTATGTCAGGCTGGCTGGCAGCAAGCCTCCAGGGATTCCCCGCTCGCTCTCTGCCTCCCATCTCACTGCAAGAGCGTTAAGATTACATACACTTACTACTGCCTCTGGCTTCAGATGGGTGCTGGGGATTTGAACTCAGATCTCAGTCATACACAACAAATGCTTTACCCACTGAACCCAGGTTGAGTATTCTTATTCCTCAAATCCAAACTCTGCAACACCCGATCTCATGTGACAAGTCACAGGCAAAACACATTGAGACGTATAAAATTATTTTCTGGCTCTGTGTTTCAGGCTTATGTAAAACCTTATACATGAAGCATGAAGTAATTTTTATGAAATATGAATGAAAGTCATGTTTAGTCATCTCCAAAGTACCTCATTATGTATAAACACATATCCCAAATTTGAGAACCCCAAGTTCTGAAGCATGAGGAAGCCAAACATTTTGGAGGAGGGACACTCATATGGGTGCTGTTTTCAAGGCATCTACTTGAAAAGCTGTTTCTTGCTGCACAGGCTGGAGGTGCAGTGGGGGGGGGGTGTACAACTAAGCCGACATAATGTGACTCTCAGGCTTTGGCTGCGCTAATTCCCTGAAGGGATGCAAGGCAACCAGGAATTGTGAGTAAAATAAACACTTTCTCCCTTACGTTCTTTTGTTAGAATATTTTGTCAAAGAATCAGGAAAGGAAACTAAGACAAACGGGTATAGCATGTAGCCTCTTGGTAGTTTGCCTATACTTAGCAAGTCCAGATGATGGAAGGTGCCGCCTTGACGAGGACAGGAGAGTTCATTTCAGATGAGGGAAAGCACACAGGTAGATTTCTTTCTGCCCTCACATTCCCCTGAGCATGGTCCTTCTACTGAGGGTTTCCAGTTCTCCAAAGGTTACCGCATAGACTTCTGCACACGCTTTTGGAGTTGCACAGTTTCTGTAACGGCCTAGAGCAAGCCCAGCATGCAGCTAGCTAATTCTACCCAGCACTTCTGTCCAAGGCTTCAGCTTTCTACGTGCCAACAGTGACCAACTCTATAATCTGGAAGCATTGTAGCCATGCTGTTTTCTTCTCCCAGATGTCTATATGTCTATACGTATGCGTCGTTTGATCCACCTGCGGGTTTTCAGCAGGCTTCAAATGGTTCCCTACTGTCTTCCACAGCCGCCTTTTCTTTTCCTGGAAGCAGTGAGTGACTCTATTGAAAAGGGTTACTGATGTAGCATGTGCTGCGAAGGTCTGCTTTTCTTCCTGTACACCACAAACAGAGGGTGGTCCCTTGTGCTGTAACCTGGGGAGCTGAATGCAGTGTGCTTCTCAGATACTATTCTGGCTGCAAAGATTTCTGCACATGTTACTTATTATTGTTCTCATTTGTTTTATA